TCTCAGGCAAGCGTTTCCGTGATGAAGCTGACGATTTCCTAACTCCCTCACCAAAAGCACAAAAGAAGAATGATGGGGTTTTCAGCAGGACGATGTCTTGTGGGGTAAGCATATATTAGTTCGGGAAGTATAGATACTAACGAAACGTTTTGGTTTTAAATAACACTCTTTGTTGGTAAAGATACGAAGTGGGAATTTACAAAAAAGGGGACAGGACAAGAAAAAGAAAGCCAAACCTTAACCACCAGATTTTCACCATGTTTAAAATAACCGCTGACTGATAACTTTCTCAGTGGGATGATTAATTATGACCCAAATTTTCGTATCACAAATTTACTGATCTGTGATACGCATGTATCGTAAGACAATTCTACAATCATTTTTTATTGTCTTTTCAACAGGAAAGACCGATATTGAGATCACGTGACCTTAAGGCTGCTGTTAACCGACTGGTGGAGGAGGACTTGGTGGGGGATGCGACAGAAACGTTTTGTCTTCCGACTATCCGGGGCAAACATCAAGACCTTAAGTCTATCTCCGTAAACACGGTAAGGCAATGACGTCAACGATCATGTTCCGTAAAATGTTTGTGCTTCTTTTCATACTCAGTTACATGTACTTATTAATCGATTGATTTACTCATTTAATTACTCGCCTTTTCGTTCGTTTATTTCTTTATTAATATCTATTTTTGTTTACTTGTTTACACAGATGACTGACCTTTTAACCGAAAGATATGATGACGTCATCAATAACTACAGAATCATCGACTGCCGATACCCATACGAGTATGAAGGAGGCCATATCAAGGTTTGTACCATTACATGAAGTGAATTTATCAGCTTGTGAATCAGAATATAAACTATACCAGCACCTATGATGTTGGTGAATGGCGAGATCAAAATAACTACCAGCTTTGAAATACTGGGATTATTGATAGGTCATAATTTGGTGTAAATTGCAAAATTTTCGTAACTGAATCAAAATCAAAATATTAAAACAGGACAAAAATGTTGAGTTTTGATTGAAATTATTGATGTTATCAGATTTTTGCTGAAAATTTTCAGGACGCGGAGAACAGATATACACGTGATCAGATTCAACAGCTGCTTCACGAGACACCGACTCGTGACGTCACCGGAAAGAGAAACATTCTCATTTTCCACTGTGAATTCTCCTCCGAGAGGGGACCCAAAATGTAAGTTTCTCGTCTGCTTAAGTTAGGGTACCTATAATTACCATTCGACATATGATCGACTTCATTATTTAGTTTATGAATACACATAGTTGAAAATGTGTAAATTATCAATTATGTTATCATTTTCCCCTTCAATAATAATATGTAATTATTCTATTTATATAATCATAATTGTTTTTTTATTTACGTGTTCACATATTTCGTTTTAATCTCATTAACTTTACATAATGTGTTTGATTTTTCTCTTCGATTTCTGTTTTTATGTTTTCATTATTTTCTTTTCCCTAAAGGATGCGTTTCCTTAGATCTCAGGACCGTACTCAGAATGAGGCTAACTATCCGTCCTTGACCTTCCCCGAGGTGTACCTCCTGGACGGCGGCTACAAGGCATTCTATCACACAGAAAAGGTAGTGTATGCTTGTTTTATTTAAATTCAATGCTGCCATAGAAATATTAATGCAACTTCATGAAATATAATCATTTTTCAAACGATATCTTTTAATTTGACAATATGTACTTTTACTTTAGTTTAAGATATAAAAATAGGCTTTTCAAGATTATATGTAAACCACAAAAATTAGAAGACATCGTAGACAAAGAAATACTCTCAAAAATGTTAACATAAAGATGGTTGTATATTTTTTCTTAAATCCTAGAAGTATTGACATTGTAATTAAACGTTAACTTTTTCTCCTGACAGACACTGTGCCATCCCCAGGAATACAAACCAATGCTGCATCCTGGCCATTCTGAAGATTTACGTCACTTCCGAACTCGATCAAAATCCTGGTCGGCGGGGAACAAGAAGAGAACACTTTCCCGGCGTCGCCAATGAACCGCTCTAAAGAAATAGACAGCATCGTGCAACAATCTGGATACTTCTTTAAAATTAGATGACATCGGCGTTATTCCAGAAATTACGAATTGTGGTGTAAATTTCTGAGACTTTTAAACTCGTGATGCAATTGACAACATGTCTGGGTTTGAAGGATGTTTTAACACTTACATAAGTAAGTGGGCTTTCGTATATCATGAAGTGCTACATTAACGTTACGTTGTGAGTCCCTAGCGATTATAAGAAAAATGCTGGACAATTTCAACTATAGAAAGTGCTGTGGTGATTCCGAAGTGCTATTTTTGTTTTTTCGTTTGTTAACTCATTTCTAATAAAAGATTGATGGACATTTCTTATTCTGTGTAGTTTTATTTCCAGGAACAATTAACACAAGGAGGTTCACTGACTCCCCAATAGTATATTACTACAACAGAGGACTTTAATGGGTTAGTTTACTCCCAAAGAGTGAATCACCACAACAGGGGACTGTAACAGGTTCATGGACTTCCCTATAGTGTATCACCACCACAGGGGATTGTAACAGGTTCACTGACTCCCCTCTGGTGTACCATCACCACAGAGGTCTGTAACAGGTTCATGGACTTCTCTATAGTGTATCACCACCACAGGGGAGTGTAAGTGGTTAATGGACTCCCCTATAGTGTATCACCAACACAGGGGATTGTAACAGGTTCATGGACTTCCCTGTAGTGTATCACCACCACAGGGGAGTGTAAGTGGTTAATGGACTCCCCTATAGTGTATCACCAACACAAGGGATTGTAACAGGTTAGTTTACTCCCCAAGAGTGAATCACCACCACAGGGGACTGTAATAGGTTCACTGACTCCCTTATAGTGTATCTTCACCACAGGGGACTGTAACAGGTTCATGGACTTCTCTATAGTGTATCACCACCACAGGGGACTGTAACAGGTTCATGGGCTTCCCTATAGTGTATCACCACCACAGGGCACTGACTCCCCTCTGGTGTACCATCATCACAGGGGTCTGTAACAGGTTCATGGACTTCTCTATAGTGTATCACCACCACAGGGGATTGTAACAGGTTCACTGACTCCCCTCTGGTGTACCATCACCACAGAGGTCTGTAACAGGTTCATGGACTTCTCTATAGTGTATCACCACCACAGGGGAGTGTAAGTGGTTAATGGACTCCCCTATAGTGTATCACCAACACAAGGGATTGTAACAGGTTAGTTTACTCCCCAAGAGTGAATCACCACCACAGGGGACTGTAACAGGTTCATGGACTTCTCTATAGTGTATCACCACCACAGGGGACTGTAACAGGTTCATGGACTTCCCTATAGTGTATCACCACCACAGGGCATTGTAAGAGGTTCACTGATTCCCCTATAGTGTATCACCACCACAGGGGATTGTAACAGGTTTCACTGACTCTCCTATAGTGTATCACCACCACAGGGGAGTGTAAGAGGTTAATGGACTCCCCTCTAGTGTATCACCACCACAGAGGATTGTAACAGGTTTCACTGACTCCCCTATAGTGTATCACCACCACAGGGGATTGTAACAGGTTTCACTGACTCCCCTATAGTGTATCACCACCACAGGGGAGTGTAAGAGGTTAATGGACTCCCCTCTAGTGTATCACCACCACAGAGGCTTGTAACAGGTTCATGGACTTCCCTATAGTGTATCACCACCACAGGGGATTGTAACAGGTTCATGGACTTCCCTATAGTGTATCACCACCACATGGGACTGTAAGAGCTTCACTGATTCCCCTATAGTGTATCACCACCACAGGGGATTTTAACAGGTTAATGAACTTCCCTATAGTGTATCACCACAGGGGACTGTAACAGGTTCATGGACTTCTCTATAGTGTATCACCACCTCAGGGGACTGTAACAGGTTCATGGACTTCCCTATAGTGTATCACCACCACAGGGGACAGTAAAAGGTTCATGGACTCCCCTGTAATGTATCACCACAGGGGACTTTAAAAGGTTCATGGACTTCTCTATAGTTTATCACCACTACAGGGGACTAAAACAAGTTCATGGGCTTCCGTATAGTTTATCACCACCACAGGGGACTGTAACAGGTTCATGGACTCCCCTATAGTGTATCACCACCACAGGGGACTTTAATAGGTTTAAGGACTTCCATTTAGTGTATCACCACCACAGGGGACTTTAATAGGTTTAAGGACTTCCCGATAGTGTATCACCACCACAGGGGATCGTAACAGGTTTATGGACTCCCCTATAGTGTATCACCACCACATGGGACTGTAAAAGGTTCATGGACTTCCCTATAGTGTATCACCACCTCAGGGGACTGTAACAGGTTCATGGACTCTCCTATGGAGTAATTAAGTTTAGCGAGAGATAAACGACACATCAATTCATCACTCAAGCACCTGAAACGCTAATTTGCGTCTCATGTTTTTGATAACATTGAGCTCAGTTTTTGCTTTTATGTATACAGCGTGTTATCATAATGTTTGGCTAAGTTTTCAAATTATATTTTAAGAGAAAATAATGTTTGCCCGAATGCCAATTACATGACGAAAATCAATCTCCTTGTGTTAATTGTTCCTGAAAATAAAAATTACACAGATTAAGAAATGTCCATCAATCTTTTATTAGAAATGAGTTAACAAACGAAAAAACAAAAATAGCACTTCGGAATCACCACAGCACTTTGTATAGTTGAAATTGTCCAACATTTTTCTTATAATCGCTAGGGACTCACAACGTAACGTTAATGTAGCACTTCATGATATACGAAAGCCCACTTATGTAAGTGTTAAAACATCCTTCAAACCCAGACATGTTGTCAATTGCATCACGAGTTTAAAAGTCTCAGAAATTTACACCACAATTCGTAATTTCTGGAATAACGCCGATGTCATCTAATTTTAAAGAAGTATCCAGATTGTTGCACGATGCTGTCTATTTCTTTAGAGCGGTTCATTGGCGACGCCGGGAAAGTGTTCTCTTCTTGTTCCCCGCCGACCAGGATTTTGATCGAGTTCGGAAGTGACGTAAATCTTCAGAATGGCCAGGATGCAGCATTGGTTTGTATTCCTGGGGATGGCACAGTGTCTGTGAGGAGAAAAAGTTAACGTTTAATTACAATGTCAATACTTCTAGGATTTAAGAAAAAATATACAACCATCTTTATGTTAACATTTTTGAGAGTATTTCTTTGTCTACGATGTCTTCTAATTTTTGTGGTTTACATATAATCTTGAAAAGCCTATTTTTATATCTTAAACTAAAGTAAAAGTACATATTGTCAAATTAAAAGATATCGTTTGAAAAATGATTATATTTCATGAAGTTGCATTAATATTTCTATGGCAGCATTGAATTTAAATAAAACAAGCATACACTACCTTTTCTGTGTGATAGAATGCCTTGTAGCCGCCGTCCAGGAGGTACACCTCGGGGAAGGTCAAGGACGGATAGTTAGCCTCATTCTGAGTACGGTCCTGAGATCTAAGGAAACGCATCCTTTAGGGAAAAGAAAATAATGAAAACATAAAAACAGAAATCGAAGAGAAAAATCAAACACATTATGTAAAGTTAATGAGATTAAAACGAAATATGTGAACACGTAAATAAAAAAACAATTATGATTATATAAATAGAATAATTACATATTATTATTGAAGGGGAAAATGATAACATAATTGATAATTTACACATTTTCAACGATGTGTATTCATAAACTAAATAATGAAGTCGATCATATGTCGAATGGTAATTATAGGTACCCTAACTTAAGCAGACGAGAAACTTACATTTTGGGTCCCCTCTCGGAGGAGAATTCACAGTGGAAAATGAGAATGTTTCTCTTTCCGGTGACGTCACGAGTCGGTGTCTCATGAAGCAGCTGTTGAATCTGATCACGTGTATATCTGTTCTCCGCGTCCTGAAAATTTTCAGCAAAAATCTGATAACATCAATAATTTCAATCAAAACTCAACATTTTTGTCCTGTTTTAATATTTTGATTTTGATTCAGTTACGAAAATTTTGCAATTTACACCAAATTATGACCTATCAATAATCCCAGTATTTCAAAGCTGGTAGTTATTTTGATCTCGCCATTCACCAACATCATAGGTGCTGGTATAGTTTATATTCTGATTCACAAGCTGATAAATTCACTTCATGTAATGGTACAAACCTTGATATGGCCTCCTTCATACTCGTATGGGTATCGGCAGTCGATGATTCTGTAGTTATTGATGACGTCATCATATCTTTCGGTTAAAAGGTCAGTCATCTGTGTAAACAAGTAAACAAAAATAGATATTAATAAAGAAATAAACGAACGAAAAGGCGAGTAATTAAATGAGTAAATCAATCGATTAATAAGTACATGTAACTGAGTATGAAAAGAAGCACAAACATTTTACGGAACATGATCGTTGACGTCATTGCCTTACCGTGTTTACGGAGATAGACTTAAGGTCTTGATGTTTGCCCCGGATAGTCGGAAGACAAAACGTTTCTGTCGCATCCCCCACCAAGTCCTCCTCCACCAGTCGGTTAACAGCAGCCTTAAGGTCACGTGATCTCAATATCGGTCTTTCCTGTTGAAAAGACAATAAAAAATGATTGTAGAATTGTCTTACGATACATGCGTATCACAGATCAGTAAATTTGTGATACGAAAATTTGGGTCATAATTAATCATCCCACTGAGAAAGTTATCAGTCAGCGGTTATTTTAAACATGGTGAAAATCTGGTGGTTAAGGTTTGGCTTTCTTTTTCTTGTCCTGTCCCCTTTTTTGTAAATTCCCACTTCGTATCTTTACCAACAAAGAGTGTTATTTAAAACCAAAACGTTTCGTTAGTATCTATACTTCCCGAACTAATATATGCTTACCCCACAAGACATCGTCCTGCTGAAAACCCCATCATTCTTCTTTTGTGCTTTTGGTGAGGGAGTTAGGAAATCGTCAGCTTCATCACGGAAACGCTTGCCTGAGAAGAGGGAACGCTTGATTTCGGTGTCGTTTCTTTTAATCTGAAAATAGTACAAAATAGTAAATTATTAAGTTGTATTGTAAATAAACGCTTGGTTGTGTGAAATAGAAGCGTCGGACGGACCGAAGTTGGTATGTATGTAACAATTAATTCATCCATTGAATTCACATTTTAAAGGCTTTAGTGTTTTACACTTACAATATGTTTTCCTGGGGTAGCGAACACGTTGCTGAAATCTAACCGTGTGGACACCTTGAAGTCAGCTGATGGACTCTCTGCCTGAAAAAAAAATCAGTCACCGTTATATATTTGTGGTTTTACTTCATTTTGATATGAATTATCGCTCAAATGTACAAGTCATTTTTAACCATAATAGAGAAAAATTATGCTAATATCATCATAGAAAATTTACGCTTGATATCATCATAGAAAAATTTACGCTTAATATCACCATGGAGAAAATTTATGCTTAATATCATCAGAGAGAAAATCTGTACTTAATATTCTCAAACAATATTTTTCCGATTCGAAAAGAAATAAAACTGATAAGAAGTAAAAACAATTGACCTACGGCAGTATTGAAATTAAGAAATGTAAAAGAGTTTTCATGGAGATCATAAATTCATGTTTAGATTGGAAATTTTATAATTATGTATGAATATGAGTCTATTCTGCATGACTGGATCAAGATTAGTGAATGTAACCAGATTCGATTTATGTTTCAAAAAATTTACTTACCAAGTGATCATCTATTCCTAGCCCAGAATCATCATCATCGAACAGATGACGGAGATCCTTCTTTACTTCCGGGGTCATCAAAGATTTGACCTCTTCGTCGTCGAAGTCAAGGCTGCGGCATGGGGTCAAAATCAAAGTTGATGCCATCACCTGAGAATTAAGGCAAGAGGACAACTGTTCAATGTGACGTCACACATTCTGACATATCAATTAACAAGATCGACTAAAGTGTAATAAGCTCGTTTTATATGATAAACAATATAAAATATAAACGATGAATTTATTATACATTATCGTACTAGTCAATATGAGACGAATAATGATTTTTTTTCTCCTTTAACAGATTCATCAAACATTTTTTTACCAATTATTTTGATCGCATTAAAATATCTTAAGTGTCTTACACAAAAATGAACTTACGATTTACAGCAGATGTACAGATTTGATGAAGGCGAAGGTTGTTGGAGAACAAGTCAGGATTTCGATGAGAGCTAATGATTGTATATAACGATGATGTAGAGGACAATGTTGATGAGAATTGTACTTATACGCCACAGGGAAATCGACATCTACTCCGCGCCCGTCGACTTTCTCAAGGTGTCTGCTCTCCTCGCGTGAGACACATCCAATCAGTCCCGGGGGCCAGGGGATAGGTACTCTGCTCATCTTGTCTTTAACGTGTAAACAATGTCCTATTGTGTCACGTGATCGACTGAAAAGTTCAACAGACTTTAAACCCTTGATTACTTTTATAAACATTCATCTGTGACTTCAAAGGTAAACAACGAGCTGTACCAGTTGTTGTTTATCTTAACGAGGCAGATGTATATACAGGTTAAATACAGAAACGTTTGATTTAATTCAACATTAAAACTTATATTCTGAAATGTATTAAAGTAATAAAAATGGTACTGACCATATGGTGTCATTTAATATACATAATTACAAGTGTTATGTGAAAGAAAGAAATTTAAAAACAGAAGAAAAAAAATTCTCTTTTCATGTATTTTATTTCATTCAAAATATTATTTGAAGGTGAATTTAAAGATAATCCTAAATGTTAAGAAAAAAAATTAATGACCATTAGTCTTTTCGATAATTGTATATATTAAACAAATTTGTAGAGATACTTGTCAGCAAATATACGAAACAAAAGGCCAACATTACTGCTTTTAAAATAAAATTGATGACGTCATTTTTTTAATATATTAGACGTCATCTTTTTTTTAAAAATAAAATGTCTGATTACTAAGAACAATTCGCATTTATATTATTTAAAAATAAACTGTTATCTTTCAACGTCTTGACACGTAACAGAGAATATACGGTCGGTACAACAGCCTCGTGATCAACAAGTTATCGTGATAATAGGTGATCAATATTGGTGATCGATGATCTATCAACGTGTTAAAATCGATAACGAATTTCTATGGTGTTAATTGGTTGTTAATTGGATCCAATTGATCCGTTAGGGTCGCACGCTACCCGTGATAACTCTATTACAGATTGACAATAGTGTTGATTACAGCTGGTGAGTGAGCGGTGGTCATCAGACATGATATTCTCATTGTCTTAATAAACTTGGTAAATAAAATTCACGTTTTGTTGAGAAAAAACAGCCCTAATACATCAGGAGCAGTAATTTCCCGTTTATTTTATTTACATAAAAATGACCAATAAAATAAAAAAATCAATTTGAGTATTATTCATATTTTACGTCAGATATAATTGACATTATTAATTATATTTATACAAAATATGTCTACACATGTTTTCAAACTATCAAATTTTGTAAAATTAACAACAAGCCACGAATGTTGTCAAATGTGACGCCCGCTGGACTTTCCTCGTTTCAAGTTGAACTATCTCTAGTACTACGGATGAAGTGCTGAAAAATGTAAACCTTATATTTTATTTTTAACATATATATATATTTTTGACATCCAACTCGTCAATAGAATATTTGTAATCGATTTTCAAGACTGAATTTTTAATCATGAAAATGTTTTCTAGTTTTTGTTCAAAATAACGTTTACGTACAAATACCTGGAATGTAGAGTTCCTCATTTAAGTTTGTTGATGTCAAAAAATTAAAAAGAAAGCGAAAAGAAAAAAATAAGTAACTAATATGTAAACATGTTGGAAAGAAAGCACATTCCAACTTACTATCGATCAAATGCGAAATGAAAGAACCTATTGTCAATATACATGTACTGTAATCGAGTTTTATAATTTCTCTTTAATACCTGGCATCCATTGCTTTGATAACTTATATATTTTTATACAATTTTCGTCACTTTTCTTGTTATTTATGTTTTTTGTTGATATATCTATAATCAGTATTTATGTATGTAAGTAACATAAAACATTAGTATTTGCCTGAATATGAAATATGTACTAAACACACCTTGTTGTTGATGTAGTGTTGATACATCTCAAGTATACATACATTGTATTGTTGAAGCACTATCTGTATGATCACTGTCCATCCTGTCATGTCTACTAAGGTCAACTATTACGTGCCTCTTGTTACACGTTGTCATGTGTCTAAGTATTCAAATGAAATCCTGTATCAATCTAAATAATATCATCAAGAGTACAAACAAAGTTCGGCCTTACCGAATCATCTCATTAGATATCGATACAGTTTGGAAAAAAACCCAAAAAAGCATTCCCCTAAACCCCTCCCCCCCAACCCCCCGCCCCCCCCCCAAAAAAAAACAACACACCCTCAAAATAAGAAAAAAAAAAAAAAAACATAACCCATGCCAAATTAATAAGAGCTGCCGAGTTTAGAAAACAAATTGTTTTGATTCATTTTCTTTCATAGATAATGTATGGTATCTATCCTTCAAACGTCTCGTTATCCCTGATTCCAGATTTCAGATTTCAGATTTTATTGTACGCTCAGACACACAGAGTGTGTTACAAGAGGTCACATATAAACACGAATATTAAATATTAAATTCCCGATATATGTTTTTCAAAATTATGGCAATGTACACGCTGTGAATCAGCAGTGTCGACCACTTAATGGAAGGTAAGCGGAGTTTGTTTTTGAATGAGAGTGACTTCCCTTGTGACACCTGTCTTAAACCAGGAAGTCTGGAGTAACAGGTAAGCTGTTCGTAATATTTTGTTTATTCGCTGTATTCAATTTAATTTACTGTTTGGATTTTCTATAACGTGCTTTCGATTGAAGAAAGAATATCTAAATACCTACACGCATAGACAAGACCGTGTTTTGTCACACATACAGCGTACAGGTACACATGTCAACAGTACCACAGGTGGCAAATCTGGTAGCGACCTCCATAACACTCTGAATGACATTTGTCATCGACAAATCGTGCGATTGCATAACGTCTAGACATTAAATCTCTGAATGACGTAAGATATTCAGTAAGGGGTGTTCGATCTGAATCATCACCCTGTCAGCATACCGATGCCGATCCCATTACATGACTTTGGAGGTATTAACTCGTTATCACGTGATGTAAATATAAACCTTTGCTATCTACATATTATTCGGAAATCAACATAATGTTGAAAGAATAAAGGCAAAGCCTCCCCTATACCGTATTACACCTCATCTCTACCGTGATACACCTCGCCTCTACGTGATACACCTCACCTCTACCGTGATACACCTCGCCTCTACGTGATACACCACACCTATACCGTGATACAGCTAACCTCTACCGTGATACACCTCACCTCACTTCTACCGTGATACACCTCGCCTCTACGTGATACATCTCGCCTCTACCGTGATACACCTCACCTCTACCACGATACAGCTCACCTCTACCGTGATACACCTCACCTCCACCATGATACAGCTCACCTTTACCGTGATACACCTCAACTCTACCGTGATACACCTCGCCTCTACGTGATACACCTCACCTCTACCATGATACAGCTCACCTCAACCGTGATACACCTCCCCTTTTACCGTGATACAGCTCATCTCTACCGTGATACACCTCCCCTTTTACCGTGATACAGCTCACCTCTACCGTGATACACCTCACCTCTACGTGATACATCTCGCCTCTACCGTGATACACCTCACCTCTACCGTGATACACCTCACCTCTACCGTATTACACTTCCCCTTTACCGTGATACGCCTCAGCTCTACCGTGATACACTTTACCTCTACTGTGATACACCTCGCCTCTACGTGATACACCTCACCTCTACCGTGATACACCTCACCTCTACCGTGATACACCTCACCTCTACCATGATACACCTCACCTCTACCGTGATATACCTCGCCTCTACGTGATACACCTCACCTCTACCGTGATACACCTCGCCTCTACGTGATACACCTCACCTATACCGTGATACAGCTAACCTCTACCGTGATACACCTCACCTCACTTCTACCGTGATACACCTCGCCTCTACGTGATACATCTCGCCTCTACCGTGATACACCTCACCTCTACCACGATACAGCTCACCTCTACCGTGATACACCTCACCTCCACCATGATACAGCTCACCTTTACCGTGATACACCTCACCTCTACCGTGATACACCTCGCCTCTACGTGATACACCTCACCTCTACCATGATACAGCTCACCTCAACCGTGATACACCTCCCCTTTTACCGTGATACAGCTCATCTCTACCGTGATACACCTCCCCTTTTACCGTGATACAGCTCACCTCTACCGTGATACACCTCACCTCTACGTGATACATCTCGCCTCTACCGTGATACACCTCACCTCTGCCGTGATACACCTCACCTCTACCGTATTACACTTCCCCTTTACCGTGATACGCCTCAGCTCTACCGTGATACACTTTACCTCTACTGTGATACACCTCACCTCTACGTGATACACCTCACCTCTACCGTGATACACCTCACCTCTACCGTGATACACCTCACCTCTACCATGATACACCTCACCTCTACCGTGATATACCTCACCTTTACCATGACACACCTCACCTCTGCCGTGATACACCTCACCTCTACCTTGATAACCCCTACTTTACCATGATACACTACTTCTCTACTGTGACATACCACTCTTCCGTGATACACCTCCTCTCTACAGTGACAGATCGTTCCTCTTTCATGTTACACATCTGCCTTGATATACCTCTCCTATACC